GTTAGCTTGTTGTTGTTTTTTGATCTGTAAATTACTACGTTTTCCTATAAATTGTTATTATACATTCATTGGTTATATATGATGTTAGGATTTCTTCCTTTTCTCATTTCTTATGATATTGAATATGGTTTGCACTGAAGTGCTGCTTTACAGTCATATGTATTGTTTGTCAGTTTTGTTTTGTTGTTCTTAAATTCAAGTGTTACAGTTAATGTCAGTTTCATTCTGTCAAGTCAAGATGATTGTTAGAAAGTTACGTATGGAGCAAAATGTTATAATTGCAATTTTGTTCAAATGCTTTTTTTTTTCTCATAAAACTTCTGAGTTATTCCTTTACTCCTTTACTTGGAGAGTATGTATCGTTCGCAAACTTGACTTGTTAAAGCTTGGTTGCTTGTTCTTTCTTGATCTTAAATTGCCTTTTCGTTTCGATATGTTCATTTATTGACTTTAATTATAATAAGCAAGTAATAAGTAATCTATGTCAGATGTTTAGAAATTTTTTCTAATGAATTTATTTGAATATGGTATTGTACAGATTGCTTCAGTATAGACATATTTATTACATTATAGACGTATCTCAAACGTACACACCTACTAACTTAGCTTGTTTTGTTGTAATTTACATTCAAGATTGTTTATTTATATTGTCATTGCTGTAAGCATTCTGCTCAAAGTTTGTTTGACACAGGAATTATCTCTGCTTAAATATTGTATAACGTTTAAGCACTTGTGAATCATTTAATTTTTGTATCTGCATATGTGTATTATTCTTCACTTTGTTCAGTTTCAATCTTAAAGTTTACTTTAAATCAGTAAAGTAGTTAAAATCTTATAGTAAATTATTACTACTACTAGTACAATGTTAATATATTTCTCTTCCTGCTCAACGACAGTTGCCCGCTTACTTTTTAAATTATAATTTTCTAGGGGATGGCTGACTGGATGACCGTATGGTCTTTTTGCCATCCCTTCGCGGTATTATTTTCCTATTTGCCTTGTTAATTTCTTGTTCTATGTTGTAGACACGCGAAAAATAAAACTGTTATCTTATCTTATCTTATCCTTATAGGGCGTATAGCCTTAACGTATGCCGAGCGAATGAATTATTTTGGAAAAGACATCAACGGGCTGGCATACGTCGACCCGGCCGCCGACCTAAAAAAAAAGCTCGAATTCTGGATTTTTGTGGATTGGTCGTATACATAACGTATACACAACGAATTGAACGTATACACAACGTATGTCCAACGTATGTATAGCGTATCATTAACTTATATAAAACTTATGGGAGCGTATCTGAGCGTATGGTCAACGAGTGCTTGGCGTTTTCGACGAATGGCCAACGTATGGTTAGCGCATGAGTAGCGCATGTGCAGCGTGCTCGGCGTGTCACGAACGATCACGTGACGTAACGGGATATATACCGTGCCGATCTCGTCACAAATCAATAAAGCATCTACCATGCCGCCCAAGCGATTGAATGCCCCTTCCAGTGGCAGACAGAGAGCAAAGATAACCCATTCACAACTAAAACCATCGCCACCACCTGCAGAACAGCCAGACCAGCCTGACCAGCCTAACCCTCATCCTACCGGCCATACACAGTCCAGGTGAAGATCCAGAGAACCTCGCTCACCCACTCCTCCGTCCCGTAAAGGCTCTCGTTTCTGTTGCCTCTAACTCCAGGAAGCCCAATGACCAGGCAAAGAAGAGGGCTACGAAGATTGTCTTTTCACTTACAGTAGAACAGGAGGAGAGTATGCTGGAGTTCTTGCAAGCAAATCCAATTATCTGGGACTCGCCCGCAACACGCCCGCAACACGCTCACAGTACGCCAAATGAACGCTAGCTGTACGGTAGACACGTTAAATACGTTACTCCGTCGATAGGCATACGTACAATACGTCTGAATACGTCAAGATACGTTGCAAATACGTCCAATATAGGTTAAAGTAAGTTACTCAATCGTTGTAAAATACGTTAGGTGTACGTTAGGTACACCCTCAGCCGATGTATCTCAACGTATGAATAACGTACCTCTAACATACCTCTAACGTATGTCAACGTATATCTAACGTACCCACAACGTATCTATAACGTATGCCTAATCTATGAATTATAGGGGGCAGCCCTCTAGACCGAAGGTCCGATAGACCGAATATTGCAAAGGGTTAGGGTTAGGGTTAGAGTTAGAGTTAGGGTTAGGGTTAGGGTTAGGGCATATATATGGTATATAGTGGCATCATATGATTTATAGTGGCCTCGGTGGATGTGCGGCATATTCAGGTTCGAATACGGCATCAGTGGATGTCCGGATGCGTAGCCTGGAGGCTAGGCGACCGATTCCTGACGTGTAGACACTGCGTATTCGAATAAACCTTCGGTCTATCAGGCCTTCGGTCTATCGGACCTTCGGTCTACAGGACTGTAACCGAATTATACGGTGTCATACGCTAAAAATTTTGAACAACCCAAAACATTTTTTCTGTCTCGGCGTTCCTCGACGTACGACAGCATATCGCAGCGTGCTGTTAACTAATACAACTTATGCCTAACGTACTCCTAACCTATATCAACGTACACCAACGTATTGGCGAAAAATCTCATACGCTGGCATATTAAGGCTATACGCCCTAGTTTGACAGGGCCCATTAGCTGATAAATACACTTGAAAAATTCATAGGGGATAACATATGTCACAAGCACACTCTCAAACAGACATGCACACACATATGCATATGCATACACTCACAGATGTATATAGTTATACATGCACTTAAAACACCTTTTAGGAAAGATGAGAATCTTGTTATTAGATAAAGAGGGTAGTATTTTAAAGTCTAGAGTCTCTCTCTCTCTCTCTCTCTCCAGCCTGTTATAGACCAGTTTTGACCACATCAAACAGGTGTATATGTATTGATTTGTTGTTCTTTCAGCAAAGCAGTAGCTTAATTATCCTTGTGTTATATTTAAGGTCCAATCAGGCGAAGAAAGACCAAGCTAGCACATAGGTAGCACTTTGCCAAGTCTGCCCAAATGTAGGTTTTTTCAATTATTTCTTTTTTAAATCGTATGAGGAATTACCCGTTTTTCATTAAAAAAAATGTTCTGTCACAATTCATAGGCAGTTGCCCAAGGTTGTCTGACACAGCCTGACATGAGTCCTCCTACGTGAAGCTGGAGCATCATTTTAGCATACAACTAGTCTAATCTGTGTAAGTCGCCGGTGATAAGTCATTATGAGATAGTCTGTTGTTTTTGTTTTTCACCAGAGACAGCCACAGTTTGCAGTTGACTGACTAGAATTCAAGTCGCTGTGCCTTCGGTGACGCGAACACCCACATTGTCAACGTGACACGAGAAAATGTTTCCTAATCTGCAATGAGGGGCATTTAAACGGAGCATATTTGTGCGCATGAACAGAGTGACGTCTCCTTCTGACAGCGAGGGTCAGGGTGAAGGGGCGATGGACGAAGGAGGGTTCCTCAGAGAATTCTTTCGACTTCTCATGGAAGAGTTGAAAAACTCGGAGCTTTTCACAGGAGCAGACGACAGAAAAGTTCTCAGCTTGTCAGCAAATGGTAAAAGTTCAGTATTGTGATTCCTCTATTTTCGGCGGCACATTGCAATGAATAATCATCAGTAGCT